GCCCAGGATCCCAGTCCGTGTGAGAGGAAGAAGTGCGTCTCGGAAGACTGTCACGGTCGCTGGCCAGTCTCAGCCGCCACACCAGCCTTGGCCGCTACTATTATGAATTATGCATGTGCTACTCTGCTGGTGTTCGGCCGTGTGCGTGTGTGCGTATGTACGTTTATGTGCGTTTTGTCGTTTTCAGGTTTAAAGGTCTTCGATTGGGGTTTTGTCTCGTGTGATTTTGCTCTATGTATGGTTTCCTATCGGTGGGGAAGTATTGTTTTTGTTTAGAATTTGCATAGAAGATCGGAAGTGTATGTGTTTTTTACGAGAGATTTCTAAGAAACAAACAAAAAAGTGCGTTCTTGTTCCGTTTTCCTTGTTCTGCTGTTATCTGGGGCATTGTGGGTGTTGTTAACGAAGACAACAAGGTGAGCCGACTATCTCTCCATCTAAATCGAGTCGTATCTTCGCCTGGTGTCCACTCAGCTGCCACGATCGAACTTCCTCGACCAAGCACGCGCACGACCACTGCGGATTAGACCACGACCGGAGAAAACGACGACCATAACTGAACCATAACCTGGGATTAAGTCTCCTCACAACCTCTCACCGTCCTCCCCCCCTCCTCTCCCCTCCCCTTCTCCTCCTCTCCTCTCCCCTCTCCTCCTCCTCTCCCCCTCCTCTCCTCCTCTCCTCTCCTCCCCCCTCCTCTCCTTCTCCCTCCCACCTCCCGCCCCCTCACTCTCTTCTCAAGTCACGTGGTACTACGACTTCCGGTCATGCCATTATGCCACGTCAGGTCTTGTTAGGTGAAGGAGGTCATATCGGTACCCTCCCCACCCTCCCCTTCCCCTCTCCCTCCCCACCCTCCCCTTCCCTCTCCCCTCCCCACCCTCCCCTTCCCCTCCCCCTCCCCACCCTCCCCTTCCCTCTCCCCTCCCCCCACCCTCCCCTTCCCTCTCCCCTCCCCACCCTCCCCTCCCTCTCCCCTCCCCACCCTCCCCTTCCCTCTCCCCCCACCCTCCCCTTCCCTTCTCCCCTCCCCACCCTCCCTTCCCTCTCCCCTCCCCCCTTCCCTCCCCCCTCCCCACCCTCCCCTTCCCTCTCCCTCCCCTTCCCTCCCCTTTATCCTACTCTTTCGAACAATGGGCGAAGGAAATAGAACGCGAGTGAATAATTAGGTAACGCTGACACGTTGTATGGGCTTCGTCTATGGGACTGCAGGGCGGCCACTATGTGGAAAATGGCGAATTAGGAGTGTGCACGCACGTACGCTCTCACATGTACACACACATACATATACACACACACACACATGCACACATATGTATATGCATACACACACACACACACACACAGAAACAGGGACAGAAACTTCCTTTGCACTGCCAACACCCGTCCCCTCAGACAAACAGAAACACACAACCAAACACAAAAAAAAACAAAAAAAAAAAAAAAACAAGGAAAAACAAACCCCCAAATCCAAGGCCCCCACCGCCTCCCCCTGCCCTATTTATCCAAGCCCCCCCCCCTCCACTCCCCATTATCCAACCCAAATCCAAGCCCCTCCCCCCTGCCCATTTATCCAACCCGAATCCCAATCCCCATGCCCTATTTATCCAAACCCTCCACACCCATTTATCCAACCCCAATCCCAATCCCCCGGCCCTATTTATCCAACCCCCTCCCCTCCCCTCCCCATTTACCCCAAGCTCCCCCACCCCACACCCATTTATCCAACCAAATCCAAGCCCCCCAACCCCCTCCCCTCCCCCAGCCCATTTATCCAACCCGAATCCAATCCCCCCCTATTTATCCAACCCCCCAATCCCCTAGCCCCATTTATCCAACCCAAATCCAAGCCCCATTTATCTCAAGCCCCATTTATCCAACCCGAATCCAAGCCCCATTTATCCAACCCAATCCCAATCCCCCAACGACGAAATCTGCCACCTCCCGAAAGCACTAAGGAAGTCTGGCAAAACAAGAAGCGTGATAGGATCTGCATTTCCGCGAGTAGCATTTGTGTCAAGCCTAACACCCTCCGCATTCCTTAACACAGGGGACGCTGGCGGTTGTGTTACATTGCCACTGGGGATGGGTAAGTGGGGGGGGGGGTGAATCGGGGTGATATATGGGTAATGTGTTACATTGCCACTGGGGATGGGTAAATGGGGGGGGGTGAATTGGGGTGGTATATGGGTAAGGTGGAGTGAGAATGGTGATTTAGAGGGAGGAATGAAGAAGGTGTATTGAGTACGGTGATGTATAAGTATAGTGAGTAAGGTTCATGAGTATGGAGATCTATAAGAATTGAGTGTTTTTGAGTACGGTGATGTATAAGAAGTGATGAGTAAGGTTTATGAGTATGGTGATGTATAAGAAGTAGTGAGTAAGGTATTATGAGTATGGTGACGTATAAAGAATAGTGTCAGGTTTACGGAGTATGAGTTGTTTATGAGTAAGGTGATGTATAAGTAGTGAGTAAGGTTTACGGAGTATGAGCTATACAATATTGGGAATCGCTGTCATTCTGCTGTAGTTATGGAAATGATCGCCTAAGAAACATTTCTTTGACGAGATAGATACAGTTCGTAGTGGTATATGTAGTTAAATACATGTACCACTAATTAATTTGATCTATCTAAAAAAAAGTTGCATTTAGCAGTATCAAGAAACGTAATGTACAGAAAATAAACAAAGCATCTTCAAAAATATCTCGACTCATTTTTTTCCACTTTGCTCAAATGGCCTCTTCGAATATCCCCAATTCTTCAATTCATTTCAAACGATCTTTAAATTCGACAGAGTTTCTTTCGACCTTGGCCTTCGCGTCCCTCGCCTTCCCCTCTCTAGTCACCCTCGCTCTCCTTTCCCCTCCCCCCCCCCTGGACCCCTATTCCCCGCCCTCTCCATCATCTCCCATTTCTCCATATCCTTAATTTCTCCCTTCCTCTTTCTCCCTATCCCTTTCCCTTTTCGTTCCCAACACCTATAATTCCGGCTTTGCCTTTCCCTTCTCTCTCTTCCCTTCTCCTCCCTATCATCTCATTTACTTATCCTCCCTATCATCTCCGTCTTTCCTTTCTCCTTCTTTTATCAACCCCTCTCTCCTCCTCCTCCTTATCACCTCTCTTTCCTCTTTCCCCTACTTTTTTATCAAGCCCTCTCCCTCCTCCTTACCCTCCCTCTTCCTTTCCCTTCCTTTATCAAGTCCTCTCCCCTCCTAACCACCTCCTCTCCCCTCTCCCCTTCCTTTCCCTTTCCGCTTCCATTATCATCCCCTTTCCTCTTCCTTTATCATCCCCTTTCCCCTTCTTTTATCGTCCCCTTTCGCCTCTTCCACTGCAGGGCGTTCACTACTTGCAACTGACCTGCAACGAGAGAGTCAAGGCTGTTTGAGGGTCAGCCAAGCAAGATCGAAACTATTCACGTTTTTTATCATATCTGTTTATTTCTAGTGGAGAGAGAGAGAGAGAGAGAGAGAGAGAGAAGAGAGAGAGAGAGAGAGAGAGAGAGAGAGAGAGAGAGAGAGAGAGAGAGAGAGAGAGAGAGAGAGAGAGAGAGACTAAACACAATGAGAATCAAGACAGAAAGAGAACGACGAGAGAGAGAAAAAAAAGAAAGAGAAACCCCTCTGAAAAGAAACCCAGAAAGCCCACCCCTCCCCCACCCCCTTCACCACGCCCCCACCACCCGCCCCACCCGAGAGCCAAGGAGCCGAACCATTCTCGAGAGGAACGCCTCCCCCCCCTCCCCCCCAGCGCTCTCCTTCCTCGGCTAATATAGGACACCACATAACTTTACATGTCAAGGAGACACGTCCTCCGAGGCATCTCCCCAAAAGGACACTCTCGGCTTCGAAGCTCGAGAACCTACGCTGCTCTCGATGCCCTCGCCTCAAGGGGGAGTGCCTGCGTGGGCCGTGGCACCGGCTGCGGCGGGCTGGGGTCACGGGGCAGGTTGGGTCACGGGGGTGGGTTCGGGTAGGTGTACGGTGCGGTGTATGTGTGGTTGTGGCGTGTGTGTGTGTGTGTGTGTGTGTGTTGTGTGTGTGTGTGTGTGTGTGTGTGTGTGTGTGTGTGTGTGTGTGTGTGTGTGTTGTGTGCGCGCGCGTGTGCGTGTGCGTTGCGTGTGCGTGTGCGTTTGTGTGTGTATGTGCGTGTGGTGTGCTTGTGTGTGCGCGCACGCGTGTGCCTGTGTATGTGTCCATGTTCGTGTGCGTGTACGTGCTTCTATGCGTGTATCGTACCCCACTTGCGCCCCCCCCCCTTTCACACCCTTCCCCTCCCCTCCCTCCCTCCCCCACTTTCTTCCTCCTCCTCCGCCCTTATCTCCCCTCCCCCAATTCCTCAGCAGTGACATCACATCGAAAGGACATCGCACATTCTTGGGAACACGCGACACGAAAGAATGAGTACAGAAAATGAGAACAGAAAATGGGGAGGAAATAATTTTGAATGGTGGCGAGGATAAATGCGAATGCCGAGGGATAACCATATACGGTGAAAATGGTGCTGGCGGCCGTAGCAGTAGTTAGAGTAGTAGTAGTTATCGTACCGCTATGGTAGCAGTATCAGTATCAATATTTGTAGTAGTAGTAGTAGTGGTGGTGGTGATGATAACAGTAGTAGTAGTAGTAGTGGCAGTAGTAGTACTAGTAGTAGTAGTAGTAGTATCAATATTTGTAGTAGTAGAAGTAGTAGTAGCAGTAATAGTAGTGCCAATATTTGTAGTAATAGTACTAGTAGTATCTGTTACAATATTACGCGGAGAAGGAAGAGGAGGAGAGCAAGGTACTTATATAGACCTTGGAGGAGAGGAGAGGAGGAGGAGGAGGAGAAGGAGGAGGGGAGGGAAGAAGGAAGGAAGGGAGAGAGGAGGGAGGAGGAGAAAGGGAAGGAGGGAGGGAGAAGGAGGAAGAAGAAGAAGAGGAGGGGAGGAGGAAGAGGAGAGGAAATCGCTTTGTGGCAACACATTCTTTTACTTATTCCCCCACCTACCTCTCCTCCCTTCCTCCTCCCTTCCCTCCTCCCCCCCCCAATCCCCCTTCCTCCCCCATGCCCCCCTCCCCCCAATACCTCTCTCCCCCTCTCCCCAACCTATCGCCCCCAATACTAAACATGAAATCTATCGCCCCCAACCTATGCACCTTAAAATAGAGGAATATCTCGAAGGACCCATTTCCTCTGGCGCGAGGGCTGTTCTCATGCAGGAGTCGGAGTGGGATTTCGGTTAACCTTGCATTCCCCTGAAGGAGAAGGGGGTGGGGAGGGGTGGGAGGGAGAGGGGGGGGAGAAGGTGAGAGGAAGAGAGGAGAGGGAGGAAAAGGGGAAGTGGAGAGGGGAGGGAGGAAGGGAGAGAGGGAGGAGGGAGAAGGGGTAAGGGAGGGTGGGAGGGAGGGAGAGAGGAGGGGGGAGGGAGAGAGGGAGAGAGAGAGAGAGAGAGAGAGAGAGAGGAAAGTGGGAGAGGAAGGAGGAAAAGGGGGGAGAAGGAAAGAGAGGGAGAGAGGGGGGGGAAAGAAAAGGGAAGTGAAGGAAGAGGAGGAGAAGAGAGGGGTGGAGAGGGGGGGGAGGAGAGGGAGAGAGAGAGTGAGAGAGTGAGGGAGAGGAAAGAGGAGAGAGAGAGAGAAAGAGACGAGAGGAGAGGGAGGGGAGATAGGAGAGTGGGAGAAAGAGAGAGGAAGAGAGAGGGGGAGAGGAAGAGAGAGACGAGAGAAGAGAGAGAGAGGAGAGAGAAAGAGGAGAGAGAGAGGAGAGGAGGAGAGAGAGGGGAGGAGAGAGGAGGGAGAGTGAGAGGGGAAGGGGAAGGAAGAGAAAGAGACAGATAAGAGAGAGAGAAAAGAGAAGAGACAGAGAGAGAGATGAGAGAGAGAGAGAAGAGGAGAAGAATAAGAGAGCAGAGAGATAAGATAGAGTAGAAAGAGAAGACAGAGAAGAAAGAGAACCACGAGACACACAGACACAACAGCACACAACACACAAGAGAAAAAGAAAAGAGAAAGAGACAGAGAATAAAGAGAGAAGAGAAAAGAAGCAAAATAAAACAAAAACATTTCAGGAACAGGTCTGAAGAATGCCGAATGGTAGAGTCAAGGTCGCCGTTACTTTCACTACGAGGTGAGAAGGAGGCGGCGGTCGTGTGTTCTTAGGCGGGTGTGATGCAATGGTCGTCGGTGTTTAAGGGTCGTCGTGCTATGTGTGCTATGGGGGGGTGGCTGATTGTGGCTATGGGGGGTGATGGTTGTTATGCTGATGGGGGGGGGGGTGATGGTGTGCTATGGGGGGTGATGGTGGGCTATGGGGGGGGTTGATGGGTGTGTGCTAGTAGGGTAAGTGGAATGTGTATGGCGGTGATGGGTGTGCTATGGGGGAGGGGTTGATGGTGAACCCGGTATGGGGGGGGGAGGGGAGGGGGGTGATGGTGGAACGGGAGGGGGGAGGGAAGGGGGTGATGGGTGAACGGGGGGAGGGGTGATGGTGATGTGGGGGTGATGGTGAACGAGTGGGGGTGATGTGGAACGAGTGAGGGGGGGGGGGTGATGGTGACCGAGGGGGGGCGGGGGTGATGGTGAACGAGGGGAGGGGGTGATGGGTGTGCTATGGGGGGGGATGAAACGGAGGGGGGGTGATGGGTGAACGAGGGGGGGAGGGTGATGTGAACGAGGGGGTGGGGGGAGGTGGATGCGTGAACGAGGGGGTGGGGGGGGTGATTGGTGAACGAGGGGTGGGGGAGGGTGATGGGGTGAACGAGGGTGGTGGGGGTGATGGTGGAACGAGGTGGTGGGGTGATGTGACGGCGGTTTGGGGGGGGGGGGGTTATGTGAGATCTGGTGATGAGGAGGATATTTCGTATGCGTGTTTTATCTCTCTCCTCTGTCCTCTCATCTCTGCTCTCTCTCTCTCTCCTCTCTCTCTCTCGTCTCTCTCTCTCGTCTCTCTCTCTCTCTTCTCTCTCTCTCTCTCTCTTTTCCTTCTGTCTATCTTTGGCTTTGCATCTCCCTCCCGTCTCTCTTGGGATAGATAAAAAAAAGTATATGTGATATATATGTAGTGAATAATATATATA